CCTAAGTCCCTTACCCTATTATTTCCTCTACCACATTTAAGGAATGATCATATTTAAAGATCAAGGGAATGAAGTTCAAATTAATGGAAAACGGAATTAGCCGTGATGATGTGTTTTGCTTTGTTTTATTTTTTTATACCGTTGGAGTGTTGGTGGCATACATTTGATCCCTTACTTTAGTTTTGTTGCATGTGCTTGTTGACACAATTTTTATATTATAAATGGTGTTCGTCTTATTTTAGCTTCTTTTTGTCCATATTAGTTAGGCGCGTTTATAGCGATATACTTTCCGTGGAATTCCACAAATTTTCTTATTGGTGTAATCGATAACCGAATCGATAAGCCCCCAAAATCGATAAATCGAAATCGAAAAAATCGAAACCTTATTGAAACGATAACGATAAGCATATGTACAAATCGATAATCGATAAGTAATTATCGATAAGGATCAAAATCGAATCGATAAATCGAATGCACATCCCTATTCATGAAGATTCTGTAACGTTTTTTAATCATTCATGCTCATTAGTTGTAGATCAATGAATCTGCCCTCTTTATTATCTTGGTTCATTCCACCGGTGCCGCTTCAAATCGCTAAAGAGACTCGAGCAGCCGTTTTTTCTTGTCTCTTAAACATTTTGCTCGTACCTATTAAGACTCACGTCTTTTTTAATACTCTTCTCCAACTGTCGCTTTTCTAGTGATCCACATGTCTTGCCATGTCAGCCACATAATTAATTCCACGTGTATTATTTATTTTTTCCCAATACAGAAGTCCCCCCACTTACCAATTATTCAGCAATTGAATATTTGGGAAGTGGATCTCATTTAAGGCGGGAATTTTCGCCGTTATTTCTCACGTACCATTGTGCCTTCTTCTGAACTGATGTGTCGTATGTCACTTTCATTTAATGCATGTGACACGTGGCAGTCATCGATTGGCTCTGCAACTCTGCAGCGGGTTTTAGGGCTTTTTTGCGGCTGCATCAGTCACAAAGTGACAGTTTTCGTAATGATATTTCCTTTATTACTTTTTTTGCATGACGGTTGCTTCTGCATATAAATACATCCTTTGCCTTTACTTTCACGAAAAAATTTCCTTCAGCGCTCTTTATTCACATCTTGTTCTTGTTCTTCAATACGTTCTACTTCTTCATACAAGTATGTCTTCTTCAAATCCTGATCCTCGAAAAGTTCTCATTGTAGATAAACTTTCCCTTTCTTCTGCTACAATTAGAAGTAGGAGAGGTGGTAGGTTGCGTAGTTTAGGGTCAATTTCTATACGTGGTTCTTCTTCTCAACCCACTTCTACTCCTCCATATTCTTCTAGAACTAGGGCTTCTTTTTCACATAAATCTTCTGCTAAAAATAGAGATTCTAGTGAACCGCTTCGTGAAACTTCTGTTGACGAGATTATGCCTGCTGAACTTTCCTTTGTCACAGATAGAGAATCAATTAAAAACCAAGTTACTTCCATGTCTTCTCATGATCGCGCTGATGTTTACCTTCCTAGATCACTGAGGGTTTAATTCCTGTTGTGCGTAGAGATTGCCATTGGAAATTTGACTTCCCGATTCTGGTCCCTAATGAGAATCATCACTTCCTTTAAATCTGGTTTTTCCTTTGTGTATACATATCCCTTCACATTAGGTTTTAGGCCACCTATTGACCCAGTTATTTGAATTTTGTCATTTCTTTGATGTGTGTTTAGGATAAATTGGCCATATTGTATGGATGGTTGTGGCATGCCTTCGATATTTGTCAAATCTAGCTTAATTACCCTTTACTTTTTACCACCCGATTCATCTCTACTCTCCCAAATTATTCCGTCATGGGGTTTTTACTCTCGTGGCGAGAAGTAAGAGAGTTTTGGTTTGCCCCGAAGACGATAAAGATCGTGGCTGGTACGCCCAACTTGTTGCCACTCCTACAAGTGGGTTAGTAGGCGAAAAAAACATGCCCTTCCCTGAGAAGTGGAACTTTGCACGTGAGTTTCACTTTCAATCTTTTATTTCTCTTCTTTTTTTTAAAAAAAAAATTGTACTCTCGTAACTGTTTTACTTTTCTTTTTCAGCAACCATGGGAACTGTTGAGAAAATTTCTGATTTACGTGGTTGGGTAGAAAAATTGTTAACAGTTGCTCCAATGAAAGAAAGGTCTTGGAAATACCTTTCAAACATATTTGGATGGAAAGTTAAGACTCACGGTAGCTTTCTCTTTCACTTTCTTCTTTATTTTTGTGTTTATCTTGGATTTTATTAACCCTTTTCTTTATTAGGGTTTCCCATTCGGGGTGTGAGTGTTGCATCAATCACTGCTTCAAAACTCTCTCTATCAAAGGCTCAAGAGATCATCTTGAGTTCTTCATTAAGAAGGAAAGCTGATAGACCACAGAACTCTGAAGACGAAGAGGAACGGGATGAAGGCTCGTTGATTCGCAAGCCACGAGCTAGAAGACGGGTCATTTCAGATGACGAAGCTACTCCTCCTCCTCGTTCTGTTCCCATGTTCGAGCCCGAGAGTGCTAGTTTAGTGAGTTCTGATGAAGAGATGCTTGCAACACCCCAACTTTACTGAACAACTCTTTTCTCGTGGATTTGATGAAGAAAACTTTGGCTTTATTTCTGAGGAGATGCCTCTTGCCTCTTTTCTTGTGTCTACTCCAAATGAATCTCAGTTGCCTGTACCTGCTGTTGTTGTTGTTACTGCTCCGCCCATGGCTATTTTGACTTCCTCAATTGTTCATACCGCCACAACTTCCCATGTTGAAATTGGTTCCTCTAGTAGCAGTAGGGCAATGAAACAAGTTACCACCGAGATTCCTTCAGATGGTAACCTTTTGAAGAAATCAGGCCAAGCTAACGTGTGGTTAAAACCACTGATAGGTTCACTTGAGAAGTCTAAAATAGAAAGTCATAGCTCTCTAACGTGGATGATTGATATTATGCATTCATCCTTGAAGGTGTAAACCTCGTCTTTTTATTTTATGTGATTTTTCTTTTACTAGTATCACATTTCTCTTTTTATTGTGTAGATCATTCTCATCGGAACGGAGATGATGAAAAGGATTGTCCACACGAAGCAGCTGATGAATGACTATCACACTGAAGCAGACAATTAGAAAGAGCAATTCGAGGGTCTTCAACTTGAAATGGAGGTTTTAGAGGAAGATAAGTGTACCTTAGAGCAGAAATTAAAGGTTATGGCAGCGGAACTAGCGGTTGAGAAAGCCTCTTCTAATCGAGCGGGCAAAGGCAAAAACCTTCTGGAGTCTTCATTTTGCTGAACAAATTTCTAAAGCCACTGAAGAGATCAGAGGTCTGAAGGACCTATTGAACCAGAAAGACGTATACGCTGGTGAGCTTGTTCAAACGCTTACCCAAGCTCAAGAAGATCTCCGAGTGTCTTCTAACAGAGTTCGATTTTTGGAGAGTTCACTTGCCCCCTTGCAGGCTTCTTATGATGCAGCCTTGAATGAGAAGGAAGAGCTTAGGAGTGAGATTGAGCATTAGCAAAGAGATTATGAAGCTCTTGAGGATAAGGCTGCCGTTGAAGTTAGTTGGGATTTCTTGAACACGACGTGACACTTTGATGGAGGCAAGCCGGGAAGGCTTTGACATAGCTGCTGAGATTGCAAAGATCAAAGAAACTATTGAGAAAACCCAACAAAGTCAGAGCTTTCCTTCACCCGCGACTGACATTCCTGAGGGTAATGAAGTTACTCCCGGTGAGGCTGTTGTTCAGTTTTCTTCCGCTCAAGTTACTCCTCCTGCTTTTGATGATGTCGTTCTTTATCCTACTGGTTCAGATTCTGCCCCTCAGTGAAAGTTTGAAAAAGTTTGAAGTGTTGTTTTGTTTTTTTTTTATTGGTGGAGCATTTGGAGGTTTTACCCCCTGTCTCATTTGGGGGTAATGTTTTGGAAAATCTTACCCCTAGTCCGTTTTGGGTTTTTTTTGTATAAGACAATCAGGTTGGAACTAAGTTCATATTTAGTTTTAACCAAGTTATTATAATATTATAAAGTTTTTGTCTAACTCTTATAATACCTTTATTTAGAGTTCCGTTCGACTCTCTTAGTGGTTTACCCTTGCCTTATTTTTATAAGTTTGGGCTTTATTTTCCACTTATTTTAATGTTCGGATTTTTGTTTTACCCTTTGTTATTTTAACTTTTGCATTTAAAAATGCTTCATTACTTCGTGACTCTTTTGAACAAGCACGAATTATAAAAGAGGGCCCTTTTATATACGACACTTAATGAAGAAGACGTCTCAACTTCATAATGGTGTAAACATACGAAAGAAGAAATAGGAACACACATGCTTCTTTGAATAACTTTGAGGAAAGTTTTGTATCATTCGAACTTTCAAATTATATAATACTTTACATGTATTTAAGTATCATCCATAACTATTTCGTAACTATTTTCTTTACAACAAATTTGTAAAAAATTCAAGGGTATATCTTGCAACCCATAACTAAATATTGCCCTTAACCTAAACATTCGTAAGATTTTGAAATTTACATCCACGAGTGTATCCCTCATAGGTTTTCGAATCAAGCTTGCTTTTTTTTTTGGCTGCCCGTGACTTTGCTCTGAACTTGTAGACTTTAAGCTTTACTTGAATTCTGATTTTTTCAGTCTTCTTTGCTTTCCTTATATATATATATAGTCCCTCAAGTTTTTGAGCTTTGAAGTATGAAATCTCGAGCACTTGATTATTCCTTCCGTGTGGTCCTTTTCCTGAAAAAAAAAAAACATACGGGACTCGGAGGTATATATAATTTAGATGATGACTGCTTAACCCTTTATATTTCCATCAGAAAGGTTGTAACCCTAGACTGGGAATAATGTTACTTTTGTGTGTCTTTCAGGTCTAATTTCATAATTTGGTGTGGGCTAGCTTTTTGTCTATCATCTAAAATTGTTAGTATAATTTTAACTGTACAAAACAAAAAATCGTAATTGAGCGATACCTGACCGTGGGTATTTCTTTTGCTTAGAAATAGTACTTCTTCAGATGAACAGCATTCCAACTCGAGGGTAAAACCTTGCCATCCATAGTTTCTAACTTGTAAGCGCCTTTTCCAGCAATACCTCGAATCTTGTAAGGTCCTTCCCAATTTGGACTCAACTTTTCTGCTTTGGCTGCTTTTGTTGATAGAAAAACTTTCTTGAGTACGAAGTCCTCAATCTTGAAGTACCTTAGATGAGCTTTCTGATTGTAATATCGCTCAACAATTTGCTTCTGTGCAGCCATCCTTATCAGGGCGGTTTCTCTCCTTTCTTCAAGCAAACCGAGATTTATTCGCATCTCCTCCTCATTTGATTCTTCGGTTGCTTGATTGTATCTCGTAATTGGTTCACATATTTCAACTGGAATTAAGGCTTCAGCACCGTACACAAGTGAAAATGGTGTTTCTCCCATACTCGTTTTGCTGTTGTTCGGCAAGTCCACAAGACTCCAGGTAACACTTCTGGCCACTTACCTTTTGACTCCTCTAGCCTTTTCTTCAAGTTATTAATAATAACTTTGTCTGTAGATTCAGCTTGTCCATTGGCAACGGGATGATAAGGTGTTGAAGTAATCCTTTTAATTTGCCAACTTTGAAAGAATTCTGTGATTTTAGCACCTATGAACCGCGGGCCATTATCACACACGATTTCTTCTGGAACCCCAAACCGACATATGATGTTTCGCCAAATGAAGTCCCTGACTTCTTTTTCTCGCACCTGTTTGAAGGCACCTGCTTCTACCCACTTAGTAAAATAATCAGTGAGTACTAATAAAAATCTCACCTTTCCTTTGGCTTGTGGTAGTGGACCCACGACATCCATCCTCCACTTCACAAAAGCCCATGGTGCAATAACCGGATGTAATAGTTATGCTGGTCGATGCATGTTGTAACCATATCTTTGGCATTTATCACATTTGGCTACAAATCTCTCTGCCTCTTCTTCCATTTTTGGCCAGTAATACCCTGCTCTAATTAGAGTTTTTACCAAGGATCTTCCTCCTGCGTGATTTCTACAATGTCCTTCATGTACTTCTCTCATCACATATTCTGTTTGAGAAGGTCCGAGACACCTTTCTAAAGGACCACCAAATATTTATCAATATAAATTGCCTCGATCCAAATAATAACGGGCAGCTTTTCGTCGAAGTGCCTGAGCATTTTTCTTATCTTCAGGTAGAATTCCTTACTGCAAAAAGTTAACGATCTCGTTTCTCCAATCCCAGGTTAGATTATTGAAATTTACCTCATTTTTATCTTGATCGAGTGCCGAATGAAACAAATGTATTACGGAAGCATTTTCTTCATTTGTTACTTTTACAATGGATGCAAGATTAGCCAACGCGTCTGCTTCGACATTTTCTTCACTGGGTATCTGCACGATTTTCCAACTTTGAAATTGGCTGATCAAATCTCGTGCCTTTTCCAAATATTGTTTCATCCTCGCCTCTCTATCTATATAAGTCCCCTGCATTTGGTTAACTACGAGCTGCGAATCGCTTTTGATTGTAACCTGCTCTATTCCGAGCTCTCGTGCCAATTCTAAACCTGCAATCACAGCTTCATATTCTGCTTCATTATTAGTAATGGGATGGAATTTTATGGCTTGCCTTATAGTGTCTCCCGAAGGTGGGATTAAAATAATGCCTAAATCCGCTCCTTTAACATTCGAGGAGCCATCGGTAAATAGGGTCCAAGTACCTAGATTGGACCCGTTAAATACCTGCAGTTCTTTTTCTGCTTCTATTAACATCCCTGGGGTAAAGTCTGCCACGAAATCTGCTAAAACTTGTGATTTTATCGCAGTTTTAGGTTTATATGTGATGTCATATTCACTTAGTTCTATGGCCCACTTGGCTAATCTACCTGATAACTCTTGCTTATGCAATATATTTCGTAAAGGGTAGGCGGTCACTACAGAGATAGGTTGACATTGAAAGTAAGATCTTAATTTTCTAGAAGCCATTATTAGTGCTAAAGCAACTTTTTCTAAATGAGGATATCGAGTTTCAACATCTAATAAGGACTTACTAACATAATAAATTGGAGATTGTTTACCTTTATCTTCTCAAACTAATACTGCACTTACCGCCACTTCTGACACAGCGAGATATATAAGTAGCTTTTCACCGTCCTTTGGTTTAGCCAGCAACGGTGGGTTTTACAGGTATGCCTTTAAATTTTTGAGCGCTTGTTGGAATTCCTCAGTCCACTCAAATTGGCTTTGCTTTTTCAATACATAGGTTTCCACCTTTTTGTCATTCGCTTCATTTTTCTTCTCCACCGTTTCAACTCGCTTTGTTAGTTCCTCAAGCATCTTCATGATTGCGGGATCGGTCTCTAATTCACCTCCATTCGATCTTTTTGGCACCGATTCGGCCCTACGAACAAATTTCTGTGATGGCCCGAGCTCGATCCTGCTTGGTGCATGGTTTTGGTTTTAGAGTTGTGCTATTGTAGCTTGTTGAGTCTGCAACATTTCGAGTATCACTCAAAGGCTAATCCCGCCTTCTTCACTGCCCTGTGCATTCTGATCGGATCGTCGAACGTCTCTACAGATGCTAGTTTCAGGNCTTTATTTAAATCAGTATAGTCTACACAAACTCGCCACTTACCATTCTTTTTAGGCACCATTACAGTATTAGCTAGCCAATTAGGATATTTTACCTCTCGGATAGACCCAATTTTTAAAAGCATTTGTACCTCATCCTGAATCACCTGGTTTTTTAAGGATCCTTGCTTCCTTTTCTTTTGTTTGACAGGTGGGTGTGTTGCATCTTCATTTAGCTTATGGGTCATCACCTCCAGGGGTATACCTGTCATATCTGAATGCGATCAAGCAAAGCAATTTGTGTTAGCTTTTAAAAATTCGATTAACTACATTTCAATTCTGGGCTCAGATTGGTGCCGATGTAAACTTTTCTATCCGGCCAATGTATAAACAGCACCACAGCTTCGAGTTCCTCGATTGTCATTTTGATGTTTTCATTTTCTTCTGGCTCTTGAATAGTATCTGGCCTTGAGTCTACATCCTTTTGTCCATCTTCACTTGAGGTTTGAGTTGTTAAACCCTCAACGGAATTCTGTAGTTGCTATTTTTCATCTGCAACGTCATTTTGTATGCTTGAATCTGCCACTAAATTGATACTTCTAGAAACCTGTTGATTACCACAGATTTGCCTAATTCCCCATTGAGAAGGGAACTTAATAACCTGATGTAAAGTGGATGGAACAACATCCATCTCGTGAATCCAAGGTCTGCCAAGGATCATATTGTATGCCATGTCCATATATATTACTTGAAATTTCGTATTTTTGATCACTCCTTCTGTGAATGTGGTGAGTATTATCTCCCCTTTTGTGACAACGCTTGAATTATCATATCTAGATAAGGTACGTGCTTTGGGTACCAATTTGTCATCAACTTGCATCTCGTTTACCACTCTTAACAGAAAGTGTCATCAATTTGTCATCAACTCGTTTCACATTAGTATCATGTGCAAATAGAGATATTACCAGTGCATCATTATGTGGGATCAACATGCCATCTGCATCTGCATCATCAAATGTTATACTGTCTTCTTCCAAAACTTGGCGAACTCGCTTCCCGTGGGTGACTGTGATTTTTGATACCTTTTTTGCAGTCGTATATGTCACGCCATTGACTTATTCTCCCCCGCTATGACATTAACCGTTCTCTTTGGTGGCGGAGGTTTTCGGGGCTCCTGTCTATTCTTCATATATGCTTGCTTACCTTTCTCACTGAACAAATCGGTTAAGTAGCCTTGTTTTAATAAGTGCTCTACTTCACCTCGTAGCAATCTACAATCTGTTGTTTTATGACCGTGATCATTATGAAACTCGCACCAGAAATCTGGGTTTCTTCTATTGGGGTTCGATCTTATTTCTTTTGGCCACCGCACCTTATCTCCCATGCTTCTTAAAACAGCCACCAATTCGGATGTGCTAGTATTGAAACTGTAACCCCCAATCTGTGCTTTTAAATTTCTGTCGTTGTCCCGCGTATCTCGTGTGTCTCGCTCCTTTCCAAACTTGGATAATGAACCTGAATCTCTATCTCTAGATCCAGAATCGTACCTCGAGTTCTCTTGTTTTGAGCGTGAATCCCTTCCTGCTGGTCCCATGTAAGGTTCGTACCTATTCTTACCAGACCTTTTTTCAGTTTCTGGTCGCCTCGAGCTTACTCTTTCATCTCGCCGTGACTAAGTGATAGTATCTTCTTTTATCCATAGCTTCGTGCTATACCTGTTATAAACATCATTCCAAGTTGTTGCAGGGAATTCTCGTAAGCTTTCTTTGAGTCTCTTCGTGCCTTCCGAGCTTTTTTCATTTAAATTACTCGCAAATGCCATAGCCTCCCAATTGTCAGGCACGCGTGGTAACATCATTCTTTCACGTTGGAATCTATCCACGAATTCTCTGAGTTGCTCCGTATCTCCTTATTTTATTTTGAAGATGTCTTCCATCCTCTTTTCAACTTTTGAGCTCCCGAGTGCACTTTTATAAAATAAACCTGCAAGGTCAGCAAAAGAATCAATAGAATTTTCAGGTAAAAGAGAATACTATGTTAGTGCTCCCTTTGTGAGTGTTTCACTGAATTTTTTGACCAGCACTGATTCAATCTCTTGCTTAGTCAAATCGTTGCCTTTCACGCTAGTTGTAAATGCGGTCACATGATCTCGTGGATCGGTTGTACCATCATACTTCGAAATATCGGGCATCTTAAACCTTTTTTGGAATAGGAAAAAGAGTGGCACTTGGCTTCCAGGGTTGTTGAGAATATTTATCCATATCCACTCCTTTGATTATAGGTGGAACACCAGGTATCTGCTCTATGCGATCGTTCTGCTCCTTGAGCTGTTTCTGCAAAGTTAGTACTCAACTTTGTAAATCAGAATTAATTGGAACACCTGACCTTCCATTACGATATTCGCTGGGAGTTCCTCCACTGCCCGAATTGGCAAGTCCCGAATGTGGATTTTCTATGGTTGCGGTGTTATCCGGAGGTGGAGTCGGTGGTTTAGTTGGCAACCCACTAACAAAAGCTTGAAGAGAATTGTTGACCTGTTCTGCAATTAATTGTATTAATGCTTCATCAATAGCTTGATCATCCCCATGTTGGTCATTCGCATGTGATTCAGATCTGTCAGGTGACCCTTCTCGGGATTGTCGAGGAGAGTTTCGTGGTGAAGGGGCTGGAGTTTTATCCCCTTGTTGATTTTGCTGGTTCAACTGGTGTTGCTGATTTTGTTGGTTGTTGTCGTTAGCATTCGACATGATTTTTTTGATAGGAAAAAGAATTTGGAAAGTGAATGGATTATCATGTTCCCGGTAACGGAACCAATTTGTTAACCAAAAAATAGGAATTTCGGTCAAAGCCTATTTTTAGAAGTACTCGGGTTACTGATAATCAAGGAAATCGATATTCTTACGGTAAGAGAGAAAATTAGAATAGCAAAGTAATCAGTAGGAAGCAAAAGTAAATAGTTGTATTCCAATAATAATCAGAACGTGTCCATACAAATGACATTTCTTTTCCTTATATAGACATCACTAAGTACAACATCTTTTCCCTTTTATGATCGAGTCATTATGAGCATTAATGACATTAATGAAATGTTATAATTGGTAATCGTAATTGTTTCGTGAAGATTCTGTAACGTTTTTAATCATTTGTGCTCATTAATTGTAGATCAATGAACCTGCCCTCTTTATTGTCTTGGTTCATTCCACCGGTGCCTCTTCAAATCGCTAAAGAGACTCAAACAACCGTTTCTTCTTGTCTCTTAAACGTTTTGCTTGTACCTATTAAGACTCACGTCTTTTTTAATACTCTTCTCCAGCTGTCGCTATTCTAGTGATCCATATGTCTTGCCATGTCAGCCACATAATTAGAATAGCAAAGTAATCAGTAGGAAGCAAAAGTAAATAGTTGTATTCCAATAATAATCAGAACGTGTCCATACAAATTACATTTCTTTTCCTTATATAGTCATCTCTAAGTACAACGTCTTTTCCCTTTTATGATCGAGTCATTATGAGCATTAATGACATTAACGAAACGTTATAATTGGTAATCGTAACTGTTTTGTGAAGATTTTATAACGTTTTTAATCATTCATGCTCATTAATTATAGATCAATGAATCTGCCCTCTTTATTGTCTTGATTCATTCCACCAGTGCCTCTTCAAATCACTAAAGAGACTCGAGCAACCGTTTCTTCTTGTCTCTTAAACGTTTTGCTCGTACCTATTAAGACTCACGTCTTTTTTAATACTCTTCTCCCGCTGTCGCTTTTTTAGTGTTCCACATGTCTTGCCAAGTCATCCACATAATTAATTCCACTTATAATATTTATTTTTCCCAATACAGTAACTCCTTTTGATTCAAGTGTTATTTCCTATACAAAGTGATAATGATGTGATAAATCAAAAGGAATATGCTAGCTTAATTGGAAGCTTGAGAATATGTGACTGATTACACTTGATTTGATATTGCATACATAGTATGAGTGTTGATAGAATTTTTCCCTCATATATATATATATATATATATATATATATATATATATATATATATATACCTTCAAAATAGTGCATATGCACCATTACTTGGTTTATAAACATATACAAGCATTTTTCATAATTTTCTATAATTTTTAAAGGCGTTTAATCAATTTATTCTTGCATTTTTATCATATAAATAATTATTAACTGCATCTAAAATAATTTTTATGATGATTTATCATTTAATTTTTCTCATTTACATCCATATTAAGCTTTAAATATTTTTGATGCATTTATTATAATCATATTTGTATCCTTAGGCTAAATTGCGTATTTTGCAATAATAGCCCATATATGTGCATAATTGCATTATTTATACCGAAAATGACTTTTTATATTTTTATAATGAGTAATTACTTTAAATTATTTTTATGCACAAGGGATATTTTTGTTATTTATTAGTTATTTTCTATTAATTATTTATTTGTTAAAATGGGTATTTAAAATCTAGCCCTTTTCTTAATTATTTTCGGACCACCCCAGCCCATCTACTTAAACTCCTAAGCCCAAAACCCCAATACACTAGCCCAAATACCCAACCCAAATCAATTAACCCAACCCGCTGAACCCGGTCGGTATCCGTCTATTATAACCCGCCCCGGTCACCTTTAAATCCCAGCCGTTGATCTTTCAAGATTAACGGCCCACATCCCTTCTCCATATTTTAATTAACCAAACCCCTAACCCTAACTCTCATTCACCCAAACCCGCCACCTCTGTATTCTCTTATCTCTTCCTCTTCCTCTTCTCCTCTCAAAACCCTAGCGCCGTCATCTTACAAATCTCTCCGATTCCAACCCCAAAATGGAATCAATCCATGATTCCTTTAGCTTATTGACCCCTCCTCCTTACTGGTTACCCGTCTTTGGTATTATATAATTGCTTGCCTAATATGGAAAGCAGATCTTGTAAGAATCGAACCAAAAATTGGTTCAAATCCTTAACTTGCTGTTTGTTCCGTCTATGCTCATCATTTTGCTCTTTGTAAGTACGAATATTTGTGGATGTTTTGTGGATTATTACTTACCCTAAATTAGGGTTTTCAGATCTCTTTTAGTTGAACCAAAAATAGGTTCGACTCTCTGATTTTAAGTATTATTCTGTCCATATTCGTCCTATATTCTACTATTGCCTGTTTTTATCATATTTTTTTCACTATTTGTCTTACCCTAAAATTAGGGTTCAAAATTAGTTTGACTTTCTAATTTTTAGTGCTATTTGGGTCTATATTCATCTTATGTTATTATTTTTGTGTATATTCTGGTAATATTTGTTTTCCTAAAACACTAGGGTTGCTGACTTCTCCTAAATTGATTCCGAATCAATTTCGCATGCTACTCTTTCCTTTTCTTTTGAGGTTGATTGATTTTTTTCCTTGTCTGTGTGTTTAACTTTTACCACTATTTAATCCCTTTCCCCTTTAGGCAGACTGGAGTTATCCAGACTCTCACTGAAAACTTAGATTTTAACTCTAATTGTCTTTGCTCGTTTGTTTCTGGTCTTGGCTGACTGAAATCCAAGGCCAATTAATTCTGGACTTAACTACTGTGGTGTATTTTCTTGCTTTTCTGCCTAACCGGAAAGTCATTATCCCTTGCCATTTTATTTTTTCTATGTTTCCATAATCTGTGTTGTTCGACCGAACTTGTTTGAACTTTATTCTGAGCATGATTCTGCCACCTTTATGATTCTATAAGTTCATCTAGTCCCATCGGGGGTACGGTTAATTGGTTACTTTGAATAATATGAATACTCTTAAAGGATAACTTATTGTTTTAGCTTGTCTCATGCATACTGTTTGATGGTCCCGAACTTGTTCTGAACTTAGCATCCTTAGGGTACTACTAGTATGGAATTAGTTAATCAATCCTAAACTTTACAGATTTGTATTGTTACTTAATTCATGTGCCCTGCCAACTTGTTTTCTAACATGTCTTGCACCCCTCTGGATTCATATGATAATCTGACTGTTTGCCTTAACACTTTGCCTAGATGTTGTTGTGATTAAACAAGGTTGTCCTAAAATGTCAGCATGCACACTTAGTGTAATTAGGTCTTTTTCTGACTTAACCTGTTTAAAACTATGTACTTTGCAAACCTTGCCCATTGGTTTCTTGGTGCAATTTTGCCTACAAATTTTGTGTTCTAGACTCTGTTATGATGGTTTTCTTCTAAAATCAACACTGTTATAAATCTGTCCCTGCCTCCTTTTATGTGCTGCTACTTTTTAAACTCCTACCCTTAAGTCCTTTAGGTTCTATCCTCAACCTCCCCAGTGTAAGCACTGCTCAAGGTCCATGTGAGATTCCTCTGAACTCTGACACACTGGGGTTTGGTTTTTAACCGCCTTTGAATAACTTCTGAGCCTTTGTTCTACAGTGTGAGCATTGCCCTGGGTCCCTAAGGCCCTTGAGAACTTTGACACACTAGAAACCTAGTTCTATATGTGCTATGGGTGAATTACTCACCACTGACTATGCTCTACCTGTGAAATAAGCCTCGAAGCTGAAATGGTTTGAAGGCCTGGTTGCCCAAGTGTATTTGGGCCTAATAAAGGGCTCCCTATAGTTTATTTCATTACCCTTATGTATTTCATTAACTAATATGGTCTGTAATAACTTTATAACAAACAGATTCTGGGGTGTTTAGTAAAAATTGGGAAGGATTCTTTATTTTCTTTGTTAATCCGGATAGAAATCCTGCCTATAGGGTTTCATTTATGCTTTTGATCCTGCTCATTTGTCAAAACTGTATAAGTTCTATATTGTGCTTAGAAACCTTGCCTATAGGATTTTCATTTGTGATGTTGATCCTGCTTATTTTGTTAAAATCGTGCCATTTCAATATTGTGTTTACGTATTAGATATCCTGCCTATAGGGTCAATATTATAATTTTGTTAGAGATCCTGCCTATAGGATGTATCAATATGTCCAACAAATATGTGTTAGTAAATCATGCCTATAGGACTAATATCTTGCTTAATTGTTTTCTGGCGGTGTGTACAAATCTGCCTATATACTGCATAATAGATATCATGCCTATAGGAGTAAAATCAGTTCAATCATGCCTATAGGATAAAAATCAGTTCAATAATAGATATCATGCCTATAGGATTCTACTAAATGATTCAAAATACAACTGTCACTGTCAATCACTTACATAACATGCCTATAGGATTTAATGACCATTCTGGATTTATAGTTGTGAATTACTGTTACTCATTATTGTCTGAAGCGCCTAGATATTATACTGAATTAAAATCAATAGGCAAATAATAGATCCTAACATTTGCATTAAGAAACTGACTTCTTTGCATACTGCTGCTCTCCTGTTTCTCACATAGATATCTTGCCTATAGGACTTTAAGATTAATAAAGCCTGCCAATCAATAGCGTGCATTTGCTGTTTTATGTGTGGAGGTTAACAAGAGCCCATATCTGCTTTTATTTGAAAGTCCTAATAGTTTTTGCTTGTCGCCTAGTCTTTTACAATTTTGAGCAACCTAAGCTGAGTCTAGCACCATCCCAAACTGAGGTCCCAATGCCTCCAGGACCATAGGTAAGGAACGGGTAGTGCACGCATAGGGTACGAGTTAGAATTAATTAGAGTGCTTTAAATAAAAAACTCAAAGATAGTAATCGGGTAGCAGGAGATGATAGTCTGTGCCCTCTGAATAATATGAGTAACACCCCGACTCGAGGGAGTTACG